GGCTGCCAGTCATGTGGTTTGCTTCCATCTTGATGAGGTCATCCCAGCCAAGATAGAGGAGAACCACATGGTTGCTATTTAAAAACATGTATTTTCCTAAACAAGAGTTTTTCATTCTCATCACTGTATCTCCCTTAGACTAAGAAACAACAGCAAGTCTCCAAAATATGTTGGATTGGCATGAATTTTTGTGTGATGACAAAACCTTAAATTTATAAAGGTGTATTCATATTAACAAAAGCTGACTTAGAGATTTACACCTAACCACTCATGTCTTTGTTAACTTCAATACCAGGCTTCTAGAAAATTTAGACAACAATGTAAAGAATCTCAGTTACATATACAATATATTCTAGACAAGAGTTGGATCATATATATATACTCATGTATAGATTTTTAATTATGTAATTTCTGTTACACAAAGCTAATTTTGTTACAGAGTTTATAGGTTTTAAACTACACCCAAAGGACTCTCTAAGACAGTTTACAGCGTAGTCCTAAGAGATTTTTTGAGAGAAGAGTGCAGAGATATCATAGAGGTAGAAATTTTTAAGAGTGGGAAGTAGAACCTTCGAGATAAGACTTGGAAGTGTAGAGCAGAGTGAGTTTGGGTAGGAGAAGTTTGGGGACCATTTGTTCGTGCAGTGGCAGCTATAACTTGTGAGAATTTGGAATCAAGGGCATCAATTTTTGGTCACTGATCTGTGCTGAGACCAAGCTGTCGTGAATCCATGGAGGAAGCAGAAAGGATTAAAAAAAAACAAAAACCAAACTCCGTTGGAGGGAGTTTCTATAGCTCCAAGAGGAAGCTAAGAGAGAGTGTAGGTGGTTTAAGGAAGCTGCAGGTGGGAACGGAGAGGGAACAGGGTTGAGAAGCATCAGAAAATTGTAGAGAAACAGCGGGAGCAAGAAAAGGATCACAGACCATAGGGAGGATTTCAGGCGGAGAGATAGTAGCGTGAGACTGCAGGCTGAACAGCAGTTCCTACGGGAAGATACGAGGAAACCCGCAACATCCAGGCCTGGGAAGAAACAAAGAAAGAGAGCAGGTAGCTCCAAGTGGAGGAAACAAGGCAAAGGATTCCAGGCAGCAGATCCTGCGACAGGTGAGAGAAAGCCAACTCCACGTGAGAAGAAGAAAAGGAGATGCCCGCATGAGGTGTAGCAGGCTGCAGAAGCCAGAGAAATACATACAGAGTGTAGAGTACCCACATGGAGGTCAGAGGAGGCCAGCGCCCAGAGACACCACAGCCCAGGACTGCAGGCAGAAGTGGAGATATAACAGCGTGGTGGGACTGCTGAGTGTAGCAGTTCCTATGGGCTGTAAGAGATGAGAGGGCGGGAAGAGGGAGACAGTGTCTTTAGTAGAGATCCCCAGACAGGGGTAGCAGGCCAGAACTGCGACGTGAGACAAGTGCCCAGGCTGATGCTGTGGAGGTGTAGAAGGCTTTAGGAATTGGAAAGACATTTTTTTTATTACTTAAAAAAAATACCAAATTCCCACTCCCTCCCCTTCTCTTAGTCCCTTCCCTCTTCCTCCACAGACCTTCCCCCCACCCCTCCAACCCTAAGGGAGTGCCATGCACCCCACCCTGTGGATAGTTCAAGGCCCTCCCTACTACATCTAGGTTGAGCAAGGTTTACATCCAAAGAGAGTAGTATCCCATGAAGCCCATATATGCAAGAAGAGACACATCCCAGTGTCACTATTAGTGGCCCCTCAGTCTGCCCTAGCTGTCAGCCCCTTTCAGAGGGGCTTGGTTGTTCCCATGCTCCTTCACTCCCTGTCCAGTTAGAGTTAGTGAGCTCCCATTAGCTCAGGCAAACTGTTTCAGTGGATGACCCCCTCATGGTCATGAATTCCTTGCTCATACTCTCACTCCCTCCACTCTTCAACTGGTTCTTGGGAGCTCAGTCCAGAACTCCGATGTGGGTCATTGCCTCTGTTCCCATCTGTTGTTGGATGAAGGTTCTATGGTGATATTTAAGATAATGATCAGTCTGACTACAGGGTAAAGAAAACAGTAAATTTGACATTTATAGCATAGACAGGAGAGAGGAGTGGTTAGAACACCACGTGGAGGGGAGAAGTAGCTGAGAAGGGGGGGCTCTAGGATTTGGAGTTGAATTGGATGGATGGCAGGAGCCAGCAGGAACAATAATCCATACACACTTTAGGAGAGCCAAATCAGCAACTTGGTTCAGAGTGGCCAAGTTCTTCAGGCGGGAACTCATTTATGCCTCTTCTGGGTTTTGGCACCAGATGAATGAAAACTAGAAATAAAACGGAGGGATGTGACGGCGCCTAGGTATGGTGGAGGAGAGGCTTCTTATAGATAAAGGGAGAGCACAACCAGAGGAAGGAGCCTCTGGGAGAGCCCAGAGTGAACACGTGGGTCATCTGAATAATTACCCAAAACTGTGAGTTTGATGGCGGTCTCTGGCACCCTCTTTTAATGAGGGAACATGGGTAATTAGGGTGTGGACCCTGAAATTCGCTTTTTCTAAGAGGAAGAACTGAATGCCAGGGTATGATAGTTCATAGACCATTGAACTATTATGCAGGTCCAGTATCAGTCAGGTGGTAGCTTAGGTACAAATCCCCCTGGTTACAGCATCCGCATATGTCAGTTAGGAAGACATGGAGGGCGGAATAATTGCTATGTGCCTTTGTGTTGGTTAGACATTTAGGATGAGGATGTAGACTCTAAGATCTTCCACTGGGCAAGAGAATTCACGTCCCGGCCATGTGAGACCTAAGGAATAACCCATCTTCATGTAGATGAGGAGGTTTTCCTGGCCAGGCCTGCACAGCTGGAGACAGGAGCAGCAGGGTTCTCGCAGGCCTTATTCCCCATGCAGTCTTCTGTAATGAGGACCTAACAACTCCCTCTGTTGGGAATGGGCACAACTTGAGCCTGTGGATGTCCTGCCATTCAAGTGTGTTTTAAATTTAACCCATTTTACTCAAGCAGTCAAATTTTTATATCTCTATGAAGATTGAGCTTTAAATTTTTTTTTTGAATTGAAGTTCTTTTAGTATCAAAATAAACTTTAAACCATAGATGCAGTCCTTGGAGAGACTGGGAAGCTGGTTTTCCTGACCCTTTTCTAGTGTACTTTTACAAAATATCATAGTTTTTAATGACCCAGTTTCCCCGGCCAGGAAAAGTTTAACAAAGTTAGAGAAGATGTGATTAGACACACATCTTTAAGTCAGATTTTGCTACCATGAAGAGACCATTATAACCTTAGGAATTTCTAAAAAAAAATTTTTTTTTTGTTTTCTCTTGTGGTTCTGACTGTCCTGGAACTCACTCTGTAGACCAAGCTGGCCTGGAATTCTGATGTCTGCTCGCTCCTGCCTTCTGAGTATGAATGTTAAAGGCAATGTGCCACCATGCTGGAACTTCTAAATCTTTTTGTTGCTGTTGTTGTTGTTTCAATACAGGGTTTTTCTATATAGCCCTGGCTGTCCTGGAGCTCACTATGTAGACAAGGCTGTCCTGGAATTCATAGAGATCCACCTGTCTCTGCCTCTTAAGTGCTGGGATTAAAGGCGTGTGCCACCACCACAGGTGAATTTCTAAATCTTAATCATCTGACATTTTTCATCCTTAAGTTCCCTTTTCCATAAGCCTTGTATAACTTCTTTAAACCCCTTGTGACTTGACTTTATAACCTTATATTTTACATTTGTTTAAATCTTTTCCCTACTTACTGTGTCTATTTTTCTAAACAAGAGCTCTATCCAAGTTATATACATGGCATGTAGCAAATTGAGATCACCTAAAACCTTTAGGTAGTAACCTTTTTTTTTTTTTTTGCTACATATTTTAAATTAACCCTTTCCCTGCTTGGAGTTTTATAGCTTTTTAAACCCTATCCTCAATAGACTTACAGATCCTGAGATAAAGAAAGTTTGTCTTCCAGTGAGAGCTTCAAAGATACTAATTTCTTTGAATGGGGAACATTTTTTTTGTTTTGTTTTAGAAACAAGAACCCAAGAAGGGGGGAAAGTATTTAGAGAGTCAAACATCTATAATTCATTTATCCATTTTAACTTAAAGGTGTGTGCCACCACTGCCTGGTCTGTAAGGCTGACCAGTGTGACTGTTTTACTCTCTGATCTTCAGGCAATCTTTATTTATTAAAATACAAATAAAACATCGCTACAACTCATGGGGGTCACAGAAAACTCCTGGAATTTTTAACCAAGTGAGTCTCAGGACAAGACAGAAGGAGGCTTCCATGAGCCCCCAAGACCTAACTTAGGTGCCTCTGAGTTAGGTCCCATGGGTTACCTTGTCCCAATGTTTTGACTGTGTGTGGTCTGATTAAATGGAGAACTGCCTCTTATCTGAAGATCACACTAAGTCAAAACGAAACAGAGAGTCATGGTAGGAGAGAAATGTTTGATTTTTATGAGGGAAGGAGAGATGATGAAGGAGAGAAGTTCCTGAGAGTGATGGACAGGCAGGTCTACCTGTCAGGTGGGCTTGAACAGACTCAGCAAAGGTGCCAGAGGATCACGGTCACCAGAGCCAGAGCTGTCAGTGGACATCAGGAACTCAGGATCACTGGAAAGAGTCCCAGGTCTGAACAAGGTGGAGAAAGGTTAGTTGACAGATGACTGTCTGAAAGAGGTAGGTAGTCCTGCCAGGTTTACTTGAGGCCCCAAACTAGCTTTACATAGAACACCAATGAAACCCCCAGAACCAGAGGCCCCATCAATGGGACTTTCACTTCTCATGGAGGCAGAGGCCACTAAGACCAGAGGTCCCAGGTAGACTGGTGGCTGCTTAGCTTATACAGTGAGCCTGGCAGACATCTGTGCCCCCAAGATAACAGTTCCCTGGAGTCGGCAAGGACAGTAAGAAAGTCAAAAGGTCCTAGAAAGAGGGCTGGTTGGGGGCGGTGTTCTCCTTGGTTTCAGCACCAAATGTTAGATTAATGAGGCAGAATCAAAGAGACCAGTTTGACTTCAGCAGACAGGAGAGTTTATCTCAAACATTATGGGGCAGACACAGTTAGAAATGGGTGTTTCCCAAAGGAGAAGGGGAACTTGGGATTCATATAGGAGGTTTGGGGAATGCAAAGGCTAGGGCTACGTGCAAGCCTGCAGTTTCTCCCTCCTGGAACTGTTTGTCCAGACAAGGCTGTCTGATTTTGGAAGCCGCCTTGTCCTGCCTATCAAGATGAGGGTCATAGTGAGTGACTGAGTTTGGCAATGGCAATGAGCAGTAAGGAGTTGGAGTTTCAACATAGGGCTTTGGTCAGCGTCTGAAGAATTTGTTCAACGTTTATTCCAACAACTGACATCAGTCTTAATGCTCGGAGTGGTTTGTTTATGCAGAGCTTCTGACATATTTCTTTATCTAGAATTTTCCAATCTTGTCCTCAGAGAGGAGACTTTCAACAAGGTGATTCAGACATCTGGAAAGGAAAAACCATGTACACATTCAGTGTACACAGAGATGTGTGCACCGCAGGAAATGCTGGCACCATAGGCAGCCTTCTGTGAAGACAGGACCTACAGGAATGCCAAAGTACAGGTGTTAAGACACACTCAAGACTTGTCAGGGCAAACCAGCACCATGTGAAGACGACGCTGGTGACAGTGTCCCTGCCGGGTAGCAGAATGACTGCAGCTAGGCTAGCGTGATGGAGCATGCTGCATGTGCTAGCCAGCAGAACAGGATCAGGGAAGAAGTGCCATGCCAGGCCGGTAGGTTACTGCAGAATCCTGTTATTGCTGGGTCGTGTGTGTGCACCATGCATGTGTGCCATGTGAGTGTGTGTATAGGCATGCATGTGAAAGCCAGAGGTCGATGTTGGGTGTATTCCTCAATCACCCCACCTTATTCTTTTTTTTAGAGAGATCACTGGCTGAATTTGGAGTTCACTGCTTTGGCTAGATTGTCTGGCAGATGCCACGCTCAAGGCCATGATGATCTAGTCTAGAAGGGCCGGAATTCTTCAGATCTGAAGGGTCGAATGTATCAGATGGGTCCAGCCTTTTGACACTGCAACATGATGCTGCCTCCTAAAAGTTCATGAATCCTTCACCTGAGATACTAAAGAATGCAAAAAATAATAATAACAACCAAAACCAAACAAAGCACAAATCCCCAGGGGCCAGTGACTTTACTCATTCCCTGGTGCTCTGTGTCCCGCCAGAGAAATGCCACTCACTTTACTCCCTGGCCCTCACATTCATGGAGCTTGCCCCTTGATTATTATCTTGAACCACTTGACAGCACTGGGGTCCTGAGCAGCCTCCTTTCAGAGTGCCCCCCAGTCTGCTTCCCATGGTGTAACCATGGAGAGAGGAGTGCGGCTCACAGGCTGCTGCCCTTCTGTGCCTTCAGTCTCTAGGTCGCCTTTCTACCCTCTTCCCAGGTTTCCAGATCACTGCATCCCACTCAGTCCGAGCTGACAGTTGGCGCCTGCCTTATCTGCCCATCCTCCACCTCCAAAGCTGCAAACTCGGGCTGTTAACTTGGAGCTGTGGTTTCCCCTCAGGAAGTCTCGTGGATAAGAAGGACGTACATATGCTTATATGTTTCAAGCTATAACTCCTTTAGTTCTTCACCCTCATCCTTAGACAGCTGGGCATCAATGGCCAGCTGAACTGCTGCTAACAATGGCCAAACAATGATTACCCCACTTCTGAGGCTTCTTGCGTTCCTTACTGCCATGGGGTGAGTGGCATTCAAATACCCGCCCATACCTGTTAATTTCAGGGCATCCATACAGCAGACTGGAAGCATTTAGCATGCAGCCCTGCTTTCTCTGCTTGAGGTTAGATAACCTACTGGGGGCTTTGCCCACTCTGTTTCCACTCCCTGGCTACTCCTTGCTGGTTCTCCATTTTTTTTTTTTTTTTTTTTTTGTGGACCAGCCTGATCCTAATATCTAAGGACCTGGCTGAGGGAAGAAGTGGCCACAGGAGGATAAGAACCCTATAAAGAAGGAGGAGTATGGGCTCTGCATCCAGGCCTGTCCTTGTAACCATGAACCAGTACATGAGAGTCTCTAGAAGTTAGCTTGCTCTGGGAGGGGTCTTTCAGCATCAGAGAAGCCCTAGATACCAGGACAGCATGGAAACAAAACAGGACCAGGGACACAGGGACAGCTGAGGTGCTAAAGTGAAGGGATGCCTGGGGCCACCTGAGATCTTCCTGTCCTTCTTTCCCTGGGTGGGGCCCTACGTGGCACGCTGAGAGGGACCCACTTCTTCTCACCAATAGGTGCATGATCCCCTGGTCTGCGGCTTCTATTTGGTCCTCTCCATCTCTGGCATCTGATGAAGGTTATGTAACATCACACCTGTCACGGTGTGATCCCTAGTCCCACACAGACTCCATACCTGAGGATATCACTAATGGGCCCCAAATTTTAACATTAACTCATTGAAAGAGCCAGGCCTGATACGTCTTAGTGACCACACATCAAGTGTTGTGGAAACATGAAAGCAAGTGGAACCCCACTACCTCCGAGACTCACATGACCTCTCTGGGGACTGGCCCTGCAGGCACCAGAGGGGCTGGGCACTAGAACCTAGGATCAGAGCAGTAAGGAACTGTGAAATGCACAACCCTAGAAACAACAGGAGACAGAAGAGAAGGCTGTGGTCTGGCAGCACCTTCTGACCTCTGAGATGAGAGATAGGTGAGGTGTGGGCTAGCAAGACCCTCACAGGTCTTCTGAGAAACACTATTAGTATGCAGCAGGGTGGAGTGGGCACTAGGGTGTTATCTCAGGCCACTGACCACTAGATTGCTGTCCCTGCTCATCAAGCTATGTTCTTATAAACATAGGCTGGGCTCCTCCGTGCTCCCTATGGGCCGTGGGAGAGACCAGACTTACAATAGCTACCAAGAATATCTGGCTGACCCAGTGGTGACATCACAATGACATCTTGTTTCTGAGAAATCTGTATTCCAAAGCAGCTCCTGTGTTCCTGGATCCTGCGGTGGGTAGGCTACGATGGATGCTAGCCTGGTCCCCTGACCAGTTCTCCTAGGACCTGGGCCTCTCAAGGTCTGACTTTGCCTAGAGGCCCAGGGAAGGGTAACTTGGGTAATCTGGCTTCAGGGTCACACTAGGTGAGGGTGGTGTCAAAATTGGCTGGGGGTCTTTTTTGAGGCTTTTGTTGCTCTGAGGGCAGAAGGGGAGATTTGGTCAGGATGGGAGCTGACTGCAAAGATAGGATGGTCTCTTGGAAGAAGTTCAAACAGGGAGACCTGAGCCCAGAGAACAGCCAACCAGCCCAGGCCATTCACACACACACACACACACACACACACACACACACACACACACACAC